TTCATCTTTCATCATTCATCATTCATCATTCATCTTTCATCATTCATCATTCATCTTTCATCATTTATCTTTCATAATTTATCATTTATCATTCATCTTTCATCATTCATCATTCATCATTTATCTTTCATCTTTCATCTTTCATCATTCATCATTTATCTTTCATCATTTATCTTTCATCATTCATCTTTCATCATTTATCTTTCATCATTTATCTTTCATCTTTCATCATTTATCTTTCATCTTTAATCATTCATCATTTATCTTTCATCTTTCATCATTCATCACTTATCTTTCATCATTTATCTTTCATCATTCATCTTTCATCATTTATCTTTCATCTTTCATCATTTATCTTTCATCATTCATCATTCATCATTCATCATTCATCACCAGATCGATCTCACTTCTGTTGATTGTGTTAGTTTCTTCAACCTCCAGTAGGAGGCGACAGAGTCCGAGCTGCTCACTGTTGGTTTACTTCAGTTAACTGACAAACACACACACTCTCTTTCACACACACACACACACACACACTCACACACTCACACACACTCTTTCTCACACACACACACACTCACACACTCACACACACTCTTTCTCACACACACACACACTCACACACTCACACACACTCTTTCTCACACACACACACACAAACATTAGGATTGTTTTCTTGTGCGATGACTAAAGACGAGAAAACAAAATGAGAACTTTCATCAACACAAAGTATCGAGGACGAATGAAACTAAAAAAGGAGTTGACACCAACGATGCATCTCAGACCGATGGTGAACTGAACGGCAGAAATCAAGGTCACATGCTCGTTCCTGATTGGCCCGGACCGAGCGGAACGATGTGTTTACTGTCACGACTTGTTTTGCGATGCATCTTTTCTTCTGCGAGAAGATTTCTGGCAGCGAGCTCCGGGGCCAACGAGCCGTCCTCGCCGCTCCACCAGGGCCTAAGCTGAATGAGAAGGAGCTGGGCGGCGATGGCAGCGTGACAGCGGGGGGTTAAGCTGTGACCCAGATTCCTGCACGAGTCTTTGTCCTGGAGGAGAGAGAAGATTCTCCTCACTCATCTCGGCCGAGGCCGAGCTGCTCGCTAGCATCAATACAGAGACAGAGCAGCAGAGATGGACAAACGTGGACCAATAGAGAAGAAGCGAGTGACTTTAATGTTGTTTCATGCATTCCAGTTTTAGTGCATGAGAACGAGCAGCTCAGCAGACGTGTCTGTAGATTTCCGGAGCTCTGCAGTTAACACAACGTTGAGGTTCCTGAAGCAGCTCAGCATCACTACAGTCAGTTTATTATGTTCATATAACTTCAACAAACAAGGGCAGTCATTTCTATTTTCAGTATTGTTTATGTTCCAGCATTATTCCTGTGTAAAAAAAATCAGATGACAACAGAATTTAAATAAAAACCTGGGTTGCTGCTTTTCTCACTGAAAACAAACAACTGGGAAACTTTTATCATTATAAATTATATCTATTGTCATTATTGTGTTTTAAATTGGTCTCATTTATTTTATAAATTATATTGAATCACTCTTTTCTTTATTTATTTAAACATTATTTATTTATTCATCTCAGCCCAAATGAAGTTTACACTCATTTATTCTGCCGTCACCAACCTGCAGGACAGAACGACAAACTGTCAAATATATTGACTTTGTGTAAAATAAAACAAACTACAAAGTCATTTATTTATTTCAAACTAAAATCAAGACGCTGCAGTTGAAGTTTTTATTTGTTGTGATGAACAAAGAATCGTTTTGTTGAGTGAGCGACTCTGAAGCGTCCAAACCCCTGAGGTGTCGCACAGAGGGCGAGAAAAACCTTGGCAAGTGTGTCCATTGTCCCGCTGTCTCTCTCTCTCTCTCTAACACACACACACACACACACACACTCAGGGTTTTGTCAGTGGGGGTGAATGTGGGAGGCGTGCTTGGTTTCGGGTGGGCACTTCTTCGTATAGTCCTTATTCCACGAACTCCCTCCCTCCTCCACCTCCTTTATCCTGGTCTCCTCAGCTTTTATCCGAGTGTCTGTGGCCCCCACAGCTTCACACGACTCGGAGCCTCGGAGCGTCACATGGTAAGAACACTGGGCCTCTGCTCACACTCAACAACTCAACCACTCAAACTGCTTAAAATCCATGGAACTCCAGGTTATAGACTTCAGAGCGTTGAAGGAAACGGAAGATGTTGTTGTTTCCATCATGATTCATAGATGAGGGCTGCGGAGGAGGGGGGGAGGGGTGAGGGGGTGAGGGGATGGGGGATGCTGTAAATAGAGGGGGATTATTTTTGTTTTGATGCTGTTCCTCTTTGTGTTTCATCGTGATAGTGATAAAACGCTGAAGTTTGTGTTTATGATGAAAGACGAACTGAAGCAGCTCCGTGTGTTTCACTCTGATGTTTCACAAAATAGAAATGTGAGGTTTTTATATTTGTTGTGTGCGAGACAATGAGCAGAAGCAGCAGCACAGCGCCCTCTACAGAACACGACGCCTCCATGTCAGACCGACGGGATAAAAACAATATGTGTGGACATGTAGTAACCACGGAAACCAAGCAGAGCTCAAAACAGCACCGATGACGGTAAATAAAGATGGACATCTGACTGCACTGTAGTTTATAAACCCCTCCTCCTCCATGTTAGCAGATGGGACATGGACCAAACTAAAGAATCAAAGTACACGTTAAATAAATGTTTGTAAAGATGTTTCGTTCTCATCTCTCTGATGTTTGTTCAAGTTTCTGATCAGTTTGGTTTAATTAGTTATTGATGATATAAAATCAGGCGGAGACGTCATGATCAACAGCTAACACTGACTCAGGATTGGCCAAAACCATGTATGGGCGGGACCTTGTTACCTCGGCTCCACTCCATGATCTGCACAGACGCTGACTGTAAACAACGTCACCACCAGATGGCGACCTCCATACCTGGGATATTTTAGCCATTGAATATCTTTAGAAAAGATAATGGGTTAAAAGTAGCTAAATACATAAATTATATATTGTGTTGTACCTTCCGTAGTTTCTGTGCACAATTAAATCATAAAGTTAGCGAATCAGTTTAGACCTCGTCTTTAGGGTTTGTTATATTTCACTTTTTCAGTTTTCTGTCTGTAGATCAACGTTTGCATCACGTGATCACGTCCAAACACGTCCTTCGCCTGGAAATAAAAGTACGAGGAGTTTAACAACATAAATCTTTAAAACCAGAAATCTTCAGTTTCACTTACATTCACCAAACTCTGCCGTTTTCTTCCTGAAGGTTTCCACTCAGTTCATAAAACATTTCATTTATCATGGACATTGTTAAAATCATTTTCATCCAGTGAGAAAAACATGGAACCAGAAAACTGAATTCGATAATGACTCATTTGAAATATTTACTTTCAGAGAAGCTGCAGTTTAATTAGTTTCTATTGAATCAGTGTCGTTTCTGATGCAGAAGGTTTTATAATGTTTTTGTTCGGTTCACATGATTCTTGTGTGAAATGAAATGACTGATGATTAATTATAATTGTACTAAAGAGTCTGATTATAAATCCCGTTCATTTGTTCAGAAAGAACTTTGGCTTCAGACGCTGCGGAGCACAACGTCCTGATTTAATTTTCTATTTCACCGCAGACAAACACAAACAATATTAATGGGATTAATGTTGTTACCACACGACCTGTTGTGTTGTTGTCACTGCGTCGCATCATTGAGTGTGAGAGGGTCCAGAGGCCGCGACGCTGAGCGCTCCTCCTCTGATTAATCCAGACGCTAATTGTTGACATCAATTCAAACTGCAGACGCTGTTCATTAAATACATGAACAGCTGATTCAGACACAAACTGAAAATCAGTGTGAATGTTCAGAAACAACTTTTAACTTCACAGTACGACTTTTTAATTCAAGATGATGTCAGTTTGATGGAGTTTTACAAACATTTGAAATTATAACATTTAAAAATGACTTTCTCCTCAATTACAACATTATTCTTTCAACATGACTTTAATCATGTTTTCATGTGTGAAAACATTTTCATAGAACCTGAAGAGACACGTTGAGACGACTGATATTAACGTGTTCGTGTGTGAATTTAAAGGACTGTTGTTGCTAAGTGACGGAGTTGAGCATCCTCTCCTCCGTCATCTTGACGGCAACATGTCCGGTCTAAGCTCCTGTGTGTGTGTGGCGGTTGTGGGGGGGGGTCTTGTTTCTGACGCTTGACTGCTTTTCAATAAGCTCACGCCCCCCCTCTCTCTGTCCTTTGTCTTTTTTTTAACATTTAACACTCGTGTGCCGTCTCTTTGACTCTGGAATCTGGAAAAAGTCTCATGTACAAGTCTGATTTTATTTGTTCATGATAGAACTTTATTATTTTATCGTTTTAAATCTTTAATCTGCTGCAGCTGATTTCATGTTGCTCTGAATCTGCTGATTTATTTAAACTTTAAGGTTGAAGATCTTTCTGTTGAAGCTGGTTTTAAACAGGTTCACTTTAACTATAAGAGAAAAACATTAGATGATAATCGATCACTTAAATTGATCCATAGATCAAGAAAATTATAATGATAGAAGAAGTGAATTGAAGAAAGTTTCACATACAGATAAAAGCAAAAATAAAACATGAAGACAAACAAGAGTTGAATCAATGGTCTCATTTGAAATAGACTTAAAGCATCACATGCTCGGGGCATGGATACTGTGAGTGATTGACAGCAAGTCCCATCCAATGGTGGGCGTGTCCTCGAGCTCTCAGTCTGGCTCCACCCCCCACTCCTCCAAATATGGTGACTTCTGGTTTCAAAAATCAAGATGGTGCTGGACAACATGTCAAACTGAGGCTTCACAAACCAACACGTGAAGTTTCAGTGGGAGGACACTTGAGTCATTAGTGTTGAAAAAACCAAGGTGTGGACGAACACGTGTAAATCAACTGCTCAGCTTTGTTTCAGCTCCATGTTTGGTCTCCACCATCTCCTCTGAGACCTTGCAGCTGCTTAACGTTCCCCTCCAGGTGTCAAATTAGATCAGGACTGTCTTCAGAAAATAATCCGTGTCCAAATGTCCCTCCTCAGCAAACATGAGCATCCTTCCGTGCAGCTTCCTCCTCGTCCTCGTCCTCTGCCTCCCCGTCCTCACCGATGCCAAGCGGCAGCCTGGTCAGGGGAAACCCGACAAACCTCGCCAGCCTCCGTCAGCCCCCCCGCCGGCCAAGAGGCCCAGAAACCGCTCAGTGCCTGGCTCTGGTGAGCTGACCACCAAGGAGGGACACCGCTGCACCTGGCAGACGTCCGGCGACGGTCTGGTGAGCCTGGTGGTGAACTGCAGCACTGAGACACTGGACGAGCAGCAGAGGTGAGAGGAGACATGATCTCATCTGTCAGAGTCAAACATGGGAAACCTGAAACGTCTCTCACATCATTTCTGTCATGTCTCTGGTTGGACGCTTTTTGTTTCTGGACATTGTGTTTTGCTGTTGTTCTGAGGTCTGAGTTTCCTGTTTTATTTCCTGTCTTTGTAATCGTCTGCAGGTATTGGTGCCGTTACGCCGGTAAACCGGACCTGTGCCAGGCGTACGGGGTGAAGTCCAGCCAGTACTGGAAGCAGCTGGTGGGGAAGCTGAAGAAAAGGCAGAACGCCTGCGACGGAGAAAAAGTCCTGAAAGCCAAGACCTGCAAGAAGGCGCCCGCCGAGGCCCACATGAAACTCGCCCAACACAGCGCAGAGGAGGAGAGGAAGGGCGGGAAGGAGGGAGGGAAGAAGAAGGGAGCGTCTGCCGGCAAGAGTCAAGATGGAGCAAAGACAGAGAGGAAGAAGAAGAATGAGGAGGAGGAGGAGAAGAAGAGGGAGGAGAGGACTGGGTTTGAGGAGGAGGGAATGATGAACGACATGCAGCCGGTGCAGAGTTACTGCAGCGAGGGATGGAACTCCGTCTGCTCCTTCTTTGTCAAGTTCTTTGAGGGTTGATGGGAAATGAAATAAGCGATGAGGTCACAATCTGGAAAACAAGAAAGCTGAAAATGTTTTTTTTAGATCAATTGGTAAAAATTTGATTCTGAAGTAAAACAAAAAATCTATTTTTTCTTTTTCATAAATTGTGACTTTTAACAAATGAAGTCTCGTCGCATCTCATTTTCATCTTCCTCCAAATGTCAAACTGAATTATCATCAAACCCAACGAGCTGGTTTATAATCCTGACAAACAGAAACACTTCAGGTTGAGTTCATCACTGTTTTTACTTCCTGATATTTTACATCGTTAAGTTTGTTGTAGTTAATTTTGAACCAGAGAAGTTGAGTTGTAACGTTGTGACTAATAAATCAATCAGATGATGATGATGATGATGACGACGGTAGTGTTCAGTAGATGAATAGTCAAGTTTTGTAACTTCATCTGTTTTGTGCAGCTAAATTTTCTATAAACTTTGTGTAACTTTTTAAAAAAATAAAAATGAAAAAAATCTGGTGACTGTTATTATGTCTGTGCACCAGCGACACCTAGTGGCCACATCAGGGTGCAGGTCGACCTTCTTAATTTCATAAGAATAGAAATCACGTCTGCAGCTGAGCCCTGTGTGTGTGTGTCTGTGTGTGTGTGTGTGTGTGTGTGTGTGTGTTACAGTGAGTCTCTGCTGCTTTAAAATTTGAACACAACTGTGGGATGGAGTGATTCCAAAGGAAAGAAAAATGGGGGAAGAACTGGAATCTGGAGTCTGGACTCCTCTGAGTGGTTACCAGGCCAACAAGTGTGTGTGTGTGTGTGTGTGTGTGTGTGTGTGTGTGTGTGTAGTTTAGACACTAGTGTGGCCAGAGGGGTGAATTTCTTCCGACTGTGACTCTGGACACAAACTAAATTTACTCTCCATCAGCTTCTTTAAAACTGAGCCCAGTTTGTCTCAGTGAAATGTGACGAGGACAAACTTGTCCCTCTGGACAGATGAGCACCATGCCTCCAAAAACCCGCCCCCTCGTTAGGTGTTTAATTGAGCAGAGAGCTGATGATTTTCATACCGTCTGGATCAGATGCATCTGTTTTCTCTGCTGCAGCAAATAAACTCGTTGTCGTTGTTTTAAAGTGAAACGACTTCACTTTGTCTCACAAACGTATTTCACTGTGACTCAGCTCCAGGAGAGCAAAGAACAATGGAACAAGGTTTTCAGGTCTAAAATATCATGCACACCTCCCCACAGTCACACACACACACACACACACACACACACACACACACACACACACACAGCAGGTCAGATCTTCCATAGATTCGGACACTGAGACCCCCCGTGTCGGACGCTGGCTGTGTTCCTGTGAGGACTCGAGCTCAGCGAGACTCTGGCAGCTTTGTTCACTTCAGCTTTTCTTCTTCAGCTTCTTTCTGCCATCTTCATTTTTCTTCTTTCAACTTTGGTCCTAGTGGACACACACACACACACACACACACTTACACACACACACACAACAGAGCTCCACTGAGCCTCAGTTGAAGTCACAAAACATTTCTGGGAACTATTTTTCTTTCTAACAACAGTTTCTGGTTCTTTCTTGGTTTGACTTTATATTGTTTCAAATCAACTCGACTGATTAAAATGAGTTTGATGGTTCACTGGGGGGGTCAGGAAGCAGAGGATCATGGGTAGTGTTCAGTTCAGTGGGGCGACACAGTCAGAACTCAACACATGGATAAACTTTGTCTTTTCTTCAAATGAAAACCACGTCATCAGACAGAGACCAACAGAGTCAATCACCTCATGTGGCTGCAGGGGGCGCTGTGGATCACTTACAGTTACATAGTGTTGCTTTAAAGACAACGAGACATTTGTACAGTTTAGTTGTAAAAGTATTTGATTTATGGGAAGTTAGGGTTCATCGATAAGTAGCTAAAACTATGAATAGATCAGGTTCAGTCTCTGAAACAACAACCAGAGAACAAACGACCGCTGACACTAAACGTTTCCACTCATCAGCTGCTTCATCGTGTTGAAGCTGCTGATGTCACGTGATCTTATTTCTTTTTAAATCCTCAAAGCTCTTATCTGTTTCAGCTCTCTGCTGCCCCCTGCTGGAGTAATTGTATTTGAAAAAAGATCAACATCAGTCCAGTTTATTAAAGCTGAAG